TGCATTAGTCCATTACCACAATTTCCTTTGTGAGGAGGCACCCCAGCCCATAACCAAGCAGATTCTCCACAGATAATCAACTCAGAACTCAAGCAAGGCTTAAATATCCTTTGATTATTCAACATTATGGTCCGGATGAAACAAGTCAACTTCAGATCTGGGCACATTATTTTTTCATCAACCAAACAGAAACTTTAGATCTAGACATGATATAAAATAAGAGAAATTAGCTAGGACGAGAGCGTCAACTCAGAAAGCCCAGATGTGTTGCTGCTATATTTATCACGCCGGGATTTGAAGAGAGCAAAATATTCTGAAAAAGATGTTGGCTTGTAAATAGGTGGATTTTCCTCAGATACAAGCTCCTCCAGTGGCCCATACAATGTATGCTGCATCGCAATTGCCGGATGAAAGAAAAATGCTGATGATATCCTGGGACCAACGATTTTGGCCACCACTCTGTGCCTAGCAGCTTTGAACTTGCCATTTGTAATCAGCTATTAAAGAGTAAAGAAATCACATACATCATCATTCAATTCATATTTATACAAATTATAAAAAAAAAGTTGTAATCTATCCAAGGTTTTGATTAATTATTGTACAAATTGTTACCTGCATAAGGTCACCATTGTTTATAACTAGAGATCCAGGCACGTAAGGCAAATCCTGCCACTGATTTTGATGGAGAACCTGGAGTCCACCGGTATTGTCCTGCAGGAGTATCGTCAGAAAAGATGCATCTGTATGGCTGCGCGTACCTATAGTCAGCTCGGGTTCTGGACAAGCCGGATAATAATGGCACAATACATAAGCCGTTTTCATGCATTTTAGTCCTTCTAGGTAGTCACTCTTGAGCCCCAAAGCCTCAGATGTCAATTCTAACAGCGTCTCCTTTAGTTGGAACACATATTTGGTGTACTCACTTGTAGCCTCTCTGTACACAAAGCACATTAATATAAACAGAAACCCCAAAAGTTTAGAAATGTCCGTTAACAGAATTTGTATTTTTGGTACATACGTCGCTATGTCAAGGACTCCGAATAAAATCCTAAGATTAAAGAAAGAGAGAGAGTTTGGTAATATAATGACCTGCAAATTTGAGGAATGACTTCTTCATCTATCTTTCCATCTGGAAATTTATAGGGCAAGGAATCCCTCCAGGTTGCCAGGGGTAACTGGTTGTACAGATTTACCTGTTGGGCTCCGCCAATTTCTGAAAACCAGTCCTTCTTTATCTCCAGGGGCTGTTCGTTGAACCGTCTAATACCATCAAGCATTTTGTCCATAACTGGGATTGGAACTCCATGATTGACCAATTGGAAGATTCCCCATTTCTCAGACGCATCGCGAATTTGACTCACTATCTCCCCTCGGCGGCCAGTCTCAATCCCGTCGAGGTCAATTACAGGAACCTGGAATCGGATGTCTTCCTCCACCGATGGCTGCGGTGATTGCTCCAGCGGACGGACAAAGAATCTTGGGAGCTTAGTCACTCCAGAGTCTACCAGGCCCTTAACTCCAACACCAGATTCCATGAACTCCTTTAATTCTTTCGCTTGAGATTCATATTCCAGGTTCAAATCTTCAGCTGTGGGAATGGTTGCCATATGATTCAAACTCGAAACAGGAGAATCTTCAATGATGAGAGAAATTGAAATTGCACTGTTGACCAAAAGAGGAAATAGCAGAACCCCTTTTTCTATTGAACTCACGCACACACACTGTCTACTTCTTCAATTCTACTTTTCATACTTACAAAAGTTAGTGATGTACACATATTGTGCATATTCTAGAGTATTCTTTTTTGTTTACAATGTTTTAATTTACCATACATACAAAATCTAAACACACAACTAACATGGCTTTCATTCCATCATGTATTCTTATGTGGCTTCAATTTACTTTGCAGTAAAATATATGCTTCTAGTAAACTTTTACTTCATCACCTTGTAGATCTCAAGTCGGTGATGAATATTTTAACATGCACATGGTGCGCAAATATCTATGAATAATTAGGAGACAAATAATGACAGCAATTTTTTTATGTGCCATTGCCCATCTTTGATGGGTATAGTTGACCAACTCTGATAAATTCACCGCAAGGCAAGTGCAACTAACATGGACCGTATATTAAAATCGTGATAAAAAAATTTATAGAATCTCTATTGTTCAACGGCCTTTGGTTTTGCAATTCTTCTTTGTAACAGAACAAAAGGGAAAAGACAAAGACCCTAAACCAAGTACTCTTCCTTGTTTAGCTTGTTTGTAATTGTTAACATGTCTAAGGCTCGACCTTCCGCACACCTAGCACATTCTCAAATTGCATTAGAACAAATTAAATTGGTAGACGCCAGATCCCTGTATTTTGTTTTTGTAATTTTAACTGGACACTATATTACCTCTTGCATCATGAAAGGTCAGCATGTTCTTTGATTGATAGCGATAATTAAGTTTATTATCCCTGATTTATTTGAGCTTAGACGAACTCCTAGACACATTTTGTTTAATTCTATTCATTTAATGTTTGATATGACCAACGACTTAAATAGTCATTTTCTTTTGTTGGAAGTAAAAGATTTTGAATTCGAGTCGCATGACATACAGATGGATGAGATAAGAAATGAAAAAAGTTACCCACTATTGTGCAACCAAGATAAAAGAAAAATTGTTTGACATGAAATTGCATATATAAATTTGGGGCTGATCACTGCAACCGACTTCTTAGGAGGCATCAGACTCCATAGCCCCCATTTTAAGATTCAGTATCCTTTGATTACTCAACATTCCTCTATAGATAAAGTAAACGGATTTCAAATCCATAGACAACCTTTTTTCGTTCAATGTGGATCAAAGAAACATAAATTAGGACCAGAGCATGAACTGCGAAAGAGCAGATGTGTTGCTATCTTTGGCAAGTTGTGACCTGTAGCAAACCAAATATTCGGAAGCAGAAGTTGATTTGTAAATTGGTGGATTTTCCTCAGATACAAGCTCCTCCAATGGTCCATACGGTTCAGTTTGCATAGCAACAGCCGGGGAAAAGAAAAATGCTGCTGATATCCTTGGACCGACATTTTTGGCCACCACTTTGTGCCTAGCGGCTTTAAACTTGCCATTGGTAATCAGCTACATCCAGAGACACATTACATGCATCATCATTCATACTGATATAAAAATAAAAAAGTTGAAATTTAATCAAGGTTTGATTAATTACTCTACAAATTGATACCTGCATAAGGTCACCATAGTTTATAATTAGAGCTCCAGGCACACAAGGCACATCCAACCACTGATTTTGATGAAGAACCTGGAGACCACCGGTGCTGTCCTGAAGGAGTATTGTCAGGAAAGATGCATCTGTATGGCTGCCCGTGCCTACAGTCAGCTCAGGTTCTGGACATGCTGGATAATAGTGGCACAATGCATAAGCAGAGTTCATGCATTTTATGCCTTTTAGGTAGTCACTCTTGAGCCCCAAAGCCTCAGATGATAATTCTGACAGTGTCTCCTTTAGTTCGAGCACATATTTGGTGTACTCGGATGTGGCCTTTCTACACCACAAAAATTGCATCAATGTAAACATGAATCCCATATTCCCAATGCCCATTGTCTAGAAGTGCCTTAGTAAGAAGTATCTTATGTAAGGATTTGTTTTAGAACTACTTTTGATTCTTAACTTCTGTTTTGTTCTCTATAAATATGAAATGAGTGTTAGCAATAGAAGTTTGAAAGCTGCTATTAACAATTGTAACTAATTAATTGGGTGAATAATAATATTTATTTAATTTTTAAAAATAATAATTATCATTGTGACTATATATGCTATTCATATGCATTTAAATTGCCTATCCAAACACTCTCGAAAATATTAGTTTTCAAATTTTTAAAAGTTCTCCTATTCCTAAGAGGCCTACTCTCATATTAGAGGAAATTAATTTTTACACTAAAAAAATGTATTAAACTACTTATAAGTTATTTTACTCAAATTTAAGTTGGGTTAAGCTTGACTTGAACTCAATTAATAAATGAGCTTGAGCTTAATTTTAGACTCTAAAATATAGTCAAGCTCGAGTTTAAGTAAGACTAAAAGCACACGAGTTACTCAAGCTTATTACTGTTAGATACAGTGCAAGCCTAAACACCGGCTTGGTTTATATGCTGCCATTCTTACCTCCACTGTACCCATCTCCTTCCTATTTTTTTTAATAATAATAATAATGACAATAATATTAATAAACATTTGTCCCATATCATCCTGGTATATGTAAGTTAAGCGGTATATAAAAAATTTGATACAACTTCAAACTAATTGATTTTGGAATTGTGATGTGTTTTATCTCTATACTATTCACATGCAATTACATCATGGACTAAAATTCATATCATGGAGAAAATTTCGTAATATATATAACCTGCAAACTTGAGGCATGGCTTCTTCATCTATCTTTTCATCTGGAAAATTATAGGCCAAGGAATCCCTCCAGATTGCCAGTGGTATGTGGTTCAAATAATGGTACAGAGTCACCTGTGCAGCTTCACTACTAGGTTGTGAAAACCACTCCTTTTTTGTCTCGAAGGATTGCTCGTTGAACCGATGCACGCCATCAATCATTTCGTCCATAACTGGGACTGGAATTCCATGATTGACTAATTGTAAGATTCCCCATGTCTCAGCCGCATCGCGTATTTGACTCACTATCTCGGCTCGGCGGCCGTTCTCGATCCCCTTGAGATCAATTACAGGAACCTGGAATTGGACATCCTCCAACGACGGCTGCGGTGATTTCTCCAGCGGGCGGACGAAGAATCTGGGGAGCTTAGTGACTCCAGAGTCAACAAGCCCTTTAACTCCAACACCGGATTCCATGAACTCGTTTATTTCTTTCATTCGTGATTCATATTCCTGGGACGATTCTTCAGCTGGGGTGAAGGTCGCCATCTGGGGATCCTGAAATCTTAGAAGATGGCTGGTTGTTCAAA